GAGAAGTGTGAGAAAGTACATTAGGGTCAGTGACGACTTGGACTACACTCGAGCTGGGCGGGGCAAGGGGCGTGGCTGGGCTTGGCATGGCATGGATGCTGTCGCTGCTGCTGCTGCTTGTACATTTACTTGTCGTGGCAATGGCAACCACTTTCGCTCTCAACTTGCAACATTTTGTGGCCGTGCTCAGCCATGTGTGCGTGTGTCTGAGTGTGAGCGAGTGTATGTTCGTGTGTGTGTGTGTGTCATAATGTACAATTTAAATGTAAACAATTTGCCTCAATGTGGCGCAACGTGGCAAAAAATGTAACAGGACAAAGGCAGCTGAATAAAATATTTAAAAAGGCAGCAACAGCAGCAGCCATCAGCAGCAGCAGCAGCCATCAGCATCTGCGGCAAACGGCAACACCATATGCCAGACGAGGCAGCTGCGAATAGTGAAACTCAAATATTTATCTTGGCAATTGCCTCTAATTTAGTTCAAAGTTGCCGGAGCTCTAAATAAACTTTTCATTAGCAGCAGCAGCAGGAGGAGCAGGAGCAGCAGCAGCAGCACACTCAAATATCTAACATACACAGAGGCAGAGCGAAAGTATAAGTTCTGCTAATATTAATTCATTAACTTTCTTTTATGGCTGTAATTGACTTTTATGTGCTTTGCACATGTTTCAATCAAACTTCAAGCAGACCAAAAGCCACAAGCCAGTAAATTAAGCCCCTAATACCCATCAGGCAGCACGTATTAGGCCTCACCGCACAAAGGCTTCCAGCCGTTGCATGTCAAATTAGCCACGCTTAATAAATGTTTATTATAGTTGCATACATACGAAAGACTCGACAATGCCACAAACCGAAAGTACTTCGATATATAATATTTTTTTTAAAAGGGGATTTCAAGCCTTAAAAAAAATATTTGTGAGTGGTATGGGCAACTAATTAGTTAGTATTATATTAAGGTATTTATTTCCGGCGATATTACAGATTGCTTTGCTGTGTCATCTTTAATGTGCAACAAGCACACATATTCATAAAAGACAAACCGCAACCGCAGCAAACAAAAACCGCAGCGCAACCACTGTGGGGCTGTGTTTGCCTCAACCACGCAACCCACATCGATCGCTCACTCCATTGCGTGCTCCTTGCCAGGATAAACTTTGAAATGAATCCAACCCCAAATCAATTGAACGCTCTGATGTGTATGTCAATGTGTGTTTGTGTGTGTGTGTGTGTGTGTGTGTGTGTTAGTCGTGCTGGGCTGTGCAATAAAACTATTTGATCAAATTGAAAAACTAAAACAAGGCACAGATATTTGGCCGCTATTGAAAAGCTGCCAAGTTTTTTGTTGTTTGGCATATATTCGAATCCATTGTTGTTCTTGTTGTTGCAGTTGTTGTAGTTCCTTTTATTGTTGTTTACATTGCGTGCTACATTTGGCACGCTGCTGCTGTTGCGAGTTTGTTTAGCGACACGTTTGCTGATTTTCTATTATTGTCAATTCTTATTCGCTTTTCGCATTTCGCATTTCATCGCGAGTTCATTAAACTCTTCAGCCGCGCGCAATCCAATAAAATATATTTGCAATTAATTAAAATAGCATTTGCCTTTCAATTAAACTAACAATTTCAGTTCTGTTTTTTTTTTCTTTTTCTCACTTTTTTTTGTGCCAAGCAAATATTATGATTTCAAGCAATTCGAAGCTGCCAGCAAACGCTGCTCTGCTCTGCTCTGCTCTGCTCTGCTCTGCTCTGCTCTGCTGTGTAGTGTCTGTTGTCTGTTGTCTGTATAATTTATGGAATGTCTTTTGTGCCGCAACGTGGTGCCAGCGTGGGGCGGGGGTTGAAGATTGAGGGCTACGCAAATGTTGCACACGATGTTTGCTACGCCCTTTTACGACTCTTATTTAATGCATGCAAAGTCCCACGCTGCGTATGCGTAATATCTACATTCAAACCATGCGGAATTTCGCACTTTAAGGTTTTGCTATGAATTTTGGCTAAAAATACAATAAAATACAATTTTTTACATTATAAATTTTAACTTTTTAGTACATAAATAAAATATTTTTTGTTTGATAATTAGAGAAGTGTAATATTAATAGTATAAATTTTAAAGGTTTACATTCTTTTTCGTATTTTATATATATTTATTTTATACAGCTTATATTCTTATGACTAGCTAGAAAGACAATATTTACATTATTTAATT